GATCGGGGGGAAGGGAGAGAGAGGCTTTGATTTCCCTGCTTCAGTGCATTCAATTTTAGATGGCTCAGAAAAATCATGGTATTCATCTTGCTTCTCTCCCTCACCCGAACTATTTCATTATAGAGTAAGGAAGGCGAAGAAAAAATAATTAGCTAAAGTTAACTGTCCACRCAGACAAAAACTTCCTGTTGCATTTAGCACAGATGATTATTAATGCACTGCACAGCTTTTAGTTAGAAACTGAGTTGGGGTTTTCATATTTCAAGCATGCATCATGTTTTTCTGTTTGCATATGCCTCGTGTCATGTTCATTGAGAATGCTGCCTGGGTATATGGCACCTCAGTAGTCAAAAAAGGGCTCCCTAGTGGTGTAGTAATATTTAAAGTATTATGTTTTTATTCAAGAGAGGAACTGTTCTATAACATAGAAATCCTATAATCTAGCTCAAAGTAGTTCCTTCCAAGTAGAAGTAATGGGTATCACATGTTGAACACAAGACTTTTTATGATAGAGGCGGGGGGGGGAGGGGACATACTTGATGGGAGTCCCTTAGGTTGCATAGTCTCTTGCAAAGGCAGCAAAACTTATGACTGTGATATACCTAAAACACTGGACTTTGGTAATGCTGTCTGTACTGACAGTGTAATCCAAAGCTTCTTTGAAAGCAATAGTCATACATAAACTGTGAGCATTCCTCAGCTGTAAGGRCATTTGTCTTCTGGGAACCAGCCAGAGCTTGGATACTTACTTCAGAAGACTTTTAGATCTTCAGGAAGAGCGCCAGTGTAGGCTGCACATGGTTTCATTAGCCACACATTCTTGATGTGTGCTTTGGTTTTGAGTGTTTGCTCATTTCCAGCGCAGTTGTGTTGATGGATTCCAGGATGCTAGTGCAAGCATCTGAGCTGTTATTCAGAGGTCAAGAGCCTCCAGGTGCAGGGAGAGACTGACACAGCATCCTCCCAAACTTTCCTAGAATAGGAAATTCTCTCTTGCATATTGTTTTCCTTGCACTTTAGCCTAAACAACSATCACAAACTTATGAGAGGTTGTCAGCTGTCCTCTTTCATTTCCCCTCTCTCCCTTATCCCCCTCCTTTTTGCTGAATGACTTTCTAAGCAGCAGCTCTTCCGTGCTAGTAGTTTTGTTAATTCTCTGGCCTTCCCTCTTCTCCTGCCTGTCTTGATGCTGGACRTTTATAGATGCAAAGCAGTTCTCTGAAACGTCCAAGCCAGGAAGTTTAGCTTAGAACTATTTTTCTTTCAATTGTATTTTTACTTTTTAATTTAATGAAGAATTAGACGCCAGTGAAAAGGACATAGCAATTTCATGGGAGAAAAAGAAACTGAAATAAGTGWTCTGGGACGCAGATGCAGGAGGTTGATCTTTAGACTCTGATTTCCCAGTGGCTTAAGTTTACAGCATTTCCATTCCAGGAACCTTATTATAGAAGTRCTGGTCTTGTTTTTTCCATCTTAGCAGCTGTCAGGAAAGGTTGCACGGTTTCACCRCATTCCTCTGCCTGTCCCCTGAGAGTTGCATCTATATCCTTTATGGTACCTTCCAAGCTGCTAGGAACGTAACTTCTGATAACCCTAATTTGTACTTATATGAAGGCTAGTCATCTACTATAAAAGCTTTCTATGGTATTCTGTCAAAAAGGTCCTTTTTATCGATTTTTTTCACCAAAATAGCTGCTTTCATGGCTTTTATTTTTACTGTTATATTTCTTTTTCTGCACACGGAATTGCCTTACTGGCCACTGTGTAATAATGAAAAGGAAATGAGCGTGCTTCCTTTGCTGTGTTTTAAGCTTCTTTAAAATATAAAATGGTATAATTTAAACCAAGCTATAATTCTTCTGCTTTATGTGAAAGCAGTCATGACTCTTCATAGCACACTGCAAACGCAGAGACTAAGTAGTGCCAGAGAAAGCCTAAGCTGCTGTCGGAAATGATGCACAAATGYATTTTTAGGGCTGAAGGGGAGTGACTGCTGGAGTAGAACTACTGTATGTGAAAGGTGATACCATCACAAGAACAAAGGAGTATGAGTTGGTCACGCTTCAAATAGAAAACTTTTAATATCAGAGCAGGATGGTTTTGGAGCAGTCTTCCAAGATGAGTAACAAGTACAAATAATCTACAACAGGTTTAAAGMAGACTATGAGCAACTAGAAGTTGTTGACCAGGTTCCAGCAGCTTCCCAAGAGCCTTTGGTTACTTATATGCATGGTATATTTGAAGGTATTTCTGACGTGTGTGTGGTTTTTTTTTGTTTTCTCAGTGCTGTCATGGGCCACAGTATCCAATTAATTCCACACCTGTCTGTAGGTAGGACTGAYGGTGCTTGCAGTCCCTGTAGAGGTTAGTAACTGACCTCCCACCTCAAAGCTGTTAGCTTAATCCTCACTGAAAAATTGGATTTGTAGATGAACCAACATAGCAGAAGAGCCTAAAGATCCATCATCATTTTTTGACTTAATTGCACAAGTTTGAACACAAGAGAAAAGAAAAGAAAGAAGTTGTAASGGGTGGGAGCACAAGTTAGGGGTGATAGGATAATAAAGGAGGTGACAGTGGGTCATTTCCAGATGTAAAAGAAATCAAGCAAATCTGTATGTGATCAAGTGTTTGCTGAGAAGGCTGGGAGGCTGGGAGCTCATTGCAATGAGATATCCCAGAGCTTGTCAAGTGGAGTCTTGAAATGCATGTAATGAGTGTTGTGAAAATACCTAGGAAGTTACAGATGCATAAAATCTAACTGAAATGCATGTAATGAGTGTTGTGAAAATACCTAGGAAGTTACAGATGCATAAAATCTAACTTAAAAAAAAAAAAAAAAAAAAAAAAAAAAAAAAAAAAAAAAAAAAAAAAAAAAAAAAAAAAAAAAAAAAAAAAAAAAAAAGCTGTGCAAGTCCAAGAATTTCATGTGAGGCACTTGGCAATGTAACTTTCTGTATAACTGTATCTGTCCAGTGCTCTTGAATACGTCAGGGCAGTTTCTGTTGTTATTCCATGTTAATAGGTGGAAGACATTGTATTAAGCAAGAGACTGAGGTCTGAATGATGCTGTATATTTYTCAAAGAATAAATCAGGTCTTTATTTTGTTATGTAGGTCACAACATTGAGGTGACTTTTATGTTAGATTGAGTCAGATTGAATTAGTTCCCTGATATTTTTTCACTTGCTGGAAATTACATAGAATCTTGAAAAGCAAAGGATAACTGAATTATAATTATTGACGATGCATTTGTGTACACCTCGTATAACTTCAATTGCACTTAAAAGCTGGAATACTGCTTGAAATAGGGCACTTAGATTTGGTGAATGATCTGTGGTGATGTACCTGAGCAAATTGCTTGTAATGCTTCAAACCCATTTGAAGGGGTTGGTTATTCCTGCTTCTGGCTTGTAGCTTCAGATGATAAAGGGGTCAGTACTTAGAAGTGTGCATCAGTCACCCTTAATCAAGAAGAATATCTCATAGTGCTCTTTTGTCATTGCAGTTGAAGGGTATGTGAGAAAAGTCCTTCCCTCTTGCTGCAGACCAAGAGGGATATAGGAACTATGGGATYTGGAGAAGGAAATAACACATTGCAAGGACTTAAAGAAGGCTCTAAGTGTATCGACTAAAAGCTCCAGTTGTAGCATTACTGTCTAATCAYCTTCTGAATAGACAGTTCTGTTTTCCAAAACTTGCCTTACATTTTTCCAAGCACACGGCAGTCTACAAATTCATCTGCCCACCGTTTATATGTAAAAGTAGACTGAGCATAAAGTTTGAGCAGCATTTCATTGACTTGCTGTAGACTGTGACTAAGCCTTCCCAGAGTGCCATTTCAGTGGCAGGGACAGTAGTGTGTTGCATATGACAACAGGTCATAAAATGCCCTTCATGAGCCCAACCCCCTGTTTCTTCATGTGTTTTGGCATACCGAATTGTTGTTCCTGCAAATTTACTTCTCTCTTTTTGGCATGATGGGAGTTAGTCTTCAAAGCTGTTTTAGCTACTGTGTTTCAGAGATGATTGTCCTAAAACATCACTAGTAGGAAAGCACAAGGAGGACAGGCTTCTTAAGCGAAGATGCACGTTGTGGCTTTTGAATGTTATGCCTAAGTACTCAACTGTGTGTTTACCAAGAATGTTCCTTCTGCTCTTTCTGAGTGGCACTTCTTGCCTTGTCTTCACAGGGCTAAGCTCAGAGCCAAAGCTGAGGGGAATGTTGCTCAGTAATCTCTGAGGTTTAGCCATTAAAGAAGGACTTGTTGCTTCCACAGCCAGGCTCATCCCACGCCACAGATGCTTGTCACTCTTCCTCTTCTTCCTTAGCATTCTAGTGAGGCTTATAGAGTGACAACAGACATGAAAAGCCAGTTGTAGCTTCATTATTGTTCAGAAATTGGTAGATTCTCTGTGCTTGTGGGATAAATCAATGCAATGAATAGAAAACAGRAATTTATGCATGCAAGAAAGGTTATGTTTTTATTATTTAATACAAATAAGTAGGTCATATCTGTAGCTGTTTAGCCCATTTTTAGAACTGAAGCTCTAAATTCCATCAYCCGTTCCAGTATTTTGAAACTCACTACTAATTAGGGAGCCTTAGCAGACAAACTAGCAACAGAGAAAGGCAGATATTTAAAAGTGCCCCTGGAAAGAAAAATAATCTAGAAACACTTGTTTTGGAGACATTTTATTTAGTTGTTTGTGATACAACCCTGTGCCAAATATTTTTATCCATTATAATATGTATGCAAGGATTATTAAGCACTAGGAAGTTCTTCACAGTAATTTAGCAATTCACTGCCTTTCTCAGCCCTCCTTTAACTGAGATACAGCACAGGGAGCTGTGTGCACACGCATGCTAATCTGTTGCGATACAAAATGGATTTGCGTCACTGCCCACAAGTGACTTATAGAAACCRTGTGAAGTAAATCTGCCACCCTCCAGGGCTTTGCGTAGCGTGGCCTGCAAACAGCGACAACAGCTTTTCTGCAGAGCAAYGGTGGTCAGGCTTACCTGGTTCACTGAATCCTGTAACAGAGCAGAGTAAATAACAGTTGATTATCATGCCCGCAGTTACAGTAATTGTAGAATCATTATGGTTGGAAAAGACTTTCAAGACCAAGTCCCTCTTTCAGCTGAGAAGATAAGGCTTTCTAACTGCTGTAATGCTTGTGGCTGCTCGTGTTCTATTAACCAGGTAGCCTATTAGGGCACTTCATAGAAACGTAAATACTGGAGCTCTAAATGAGCTTGCTGTTGATGCTGTGAGCAATCCAGCTACGTTGACAGGGTGCCCAGCCTCTCAGCAGGGTAACTTGGCCATGTTACCTGGCTCCTGGTGAGTGGGCTCATTTAAATGTGGCATATAGGCATGGAAATTGGATTGGAATTGCTAGTCAGAAATTCCCAAATAACTTGCATATGCATGCTTTTATTTCATAACTTTTGCTGTTCTGTTTTGATTTAGTTAGTCTTATTCTCTAATGCTGTTTTCTACATACAGATCAGTGAGAAATAACTGTTGTCTTTTAAAATTGCACTGGATGTTATTCTGACATCTTTAAATGTGGATCAGTCTCTATCATTCAGAAACTCATTAAAGTTTTGAAGGGCAAAAACTTCAAAGAATTTTAAGGTGAGCAAAAATTTTGGCATCTTCATTGAGAATAAACTACAGAGCTCCATGCTGCAGGATRTTATGGGTGATGCAAGATCTGCATTGGGACCCTTTTCAGTTTGTAACTGGTTTTCCTAGGCTGGATACCTATGAGGAAGCATAGTTCCTGGTTTCCACCTGAGGGAGGTGTTTGTTCTCAGATTTGACTCGTTTTCCTTTTGCTTCAGTTTCTCTATTGCAAACACACATATCCTTGTTTTGGATGTGTTTATTAATCTAAGCTCATCAAATGGGTGACTTTCTCTTGTGCTTCATTAAGCATCACAACATCACTCATCTCATATGTCACTTCTGGATTTCTATTTATTATAAAATAGTATTGTGAGGAATGTGCTGTATCACCTGAAGTAGAAGAAATCTATGCTAAGCATAGAGGCATTTGGCAGATGGCTCTCTTGTCATTAGCCTAAGACATAACCCAGTGCATGCACTAGGATAATGTGTTTATCAAGTACACAGGACCTCTTAAACAGAAGTAAGGGAGCCTGAATTGCACACAAGCAACTATACCTGCAGGGCTGCCAGCTAAGAGACCTCTACAGCCAGCTCTGCTGCCAGGAAACAGCTCTTCCCCCAAATTTTGGTGTCTGCCTCTACTTTTTGCCTCACTGTCAATTTCTTTTTTTCTGCCTTGCCCTGTAGTTTCACTTGGTAAAACCTCTAGTCAAGCGGTGGTTGCCCACAAGAATTGTGTTTGTCTGATACAAAACACCTCTAATCAAATGCAAATCTAAAAGTGAGGAGGGGAACGTTATTACAGTGTCACCTCTGATCCTTTTTCTTGGAACAACCTTATCTTTAACTGAAAATATATGCACAGCTTCTTTTGGATGAAAGCTTTGCTGGAGCACCTGCCTGTTGCTCAGGACAAGTAATAAGTTGCCTTGGGTCTTTTGTTGTGGCTGGCTCCAGTGGGGTTCACTATCATTACGTGGGAGAGAGAGAAACACGCTGGGTGGCTGGGAGTAAAATCAGGAAAACAGCCTTATAGAGCCTGGGGACCCTGCCTGTGATATGCGACTTGCCCAGAGGCTTTTGGATCTGATTTTACTGTGAGCCTTGCTTGGAGCGTTCTGCTTGATAATGCATGTCCTTAAATGTTAGCTCTTGCAAAGATTTCCTGCTTTAGGTATTTAAGGTATTGGCAGTGAAATGTTAATCGTCTTTTGTCTACTTCATGATTACATACGAGCTGGAACAAGCTGCTGCATGCACAAATCAAAGTTATACCTATCACTAGATGAGCCCAAGTGTACTGCGAGCTGTGCTCTTCAAGGGTACCATTTTAAGTTTAAATTGAGCAGAAACAAGTAATAAAGAAAAGGAGTTTTGGGGGGCAGGGGGAGAAAGCAAGATATTCAGAACTGCTGCCAAGCTCATCCATGCAGGAAACTGTAAGTACAGATGGGACATAGGTGTTGGGCAAATGCATAGGGGATCTGAAAGCCAAGCACAAAGCCCTGCGGGTTGAAGTTAGCCAGCACTGTTTGTTTTCTGACTGACTAGGAAAAGCTTTTCCCCTGGAAATGTTAAACAGACCTCCCTGCCATTAGGTTATCTGCTTAGCTCCATAATAGCAATTCTACATATGGAAGGGATGGCCTTGGCATTTGGGGTGAAGAGGGTCAACAGAGATGAATGATGAGGTGTTTTCCATACAGCCAGCGTGGCCAAGAGCGGAAGGGTTTATGGAAGGCCCTTGTGCTCCAGGGCAGCCCAAGAGGCTGCCCTGCCAAAGCAATTGCCTGCGCAATCCATCATCGCGGCGAGGAGGCAAATGGGCGAATGCAGGGCGAGGCAGCAGAGCTGTTGCCGATCAGTCATTGTCAAAGTAAGATACCGAGCTATGAAATGCTTCCAGAGAGCTAACATATTCCTCTGTCTTAGCAGCCCATAAATCTTTAGAGAGAATAAAATTCTCTCTAATTTTGCAGTAATATTGCTTGAGAGATCTAGTCGTTGCCAAGTGGTAAGGTCTCTTTCAGAAACACTAACTGCTTTCCAATATTGATGGCTTGAGCCCCCAAAAGCTAAAAGTGGTTAAAGTGGTTTTTTTGGGTTCAGATCACTATTTGCAGTTCAGACTAACCTCAAAGTAATGAGTTTAGGCTGGATACCCCAAACCTCAGCTACAGTAGGCACTTGGCTATTAACCATTTCATGATTTGAACAAATTAATGCCAATGGTGGGACTAAAGGTTCCTTAAGGATTTAACTTGAGGTTCCTTATTTATATTGCATTCATATCTAAAAGCCTAAAAAGTGCCATTTATGTTGTACTTATAAATGGCATCAAGTACAGTAAGGGGCTATCTGTCAAAGAATGTATTCTCATCAAAATAAAGTGAAGAGACATAAGAGTAGAAGCAGAAATGAAAGCTGAATGAAATTAAAGCAAGTAGCTACCCCTCATAGGTAAAGCTGATGTCTCAGTTGCCAGCCCTGTGCTCCTCCTGTAGATTCAGTGAACATCACTGACTTCTCAAAGGGAAGGGAAAGCAACAGGCCCTGCCAAAAAGCAGTGCAATAGCAAACCTTAACCTCCTTGCCCTGGAGTTCCCCAGCTGCATTTATTCCCTTGAAGGCAAACGGGGAGGAAAGCAAGCAGCCTACAAGAGCCAGCTAGCCCCTTTGGAGGTGGGCTGGAGCAGTGTGTTCACAGCTCAGCACAGCAGCTGCAGGAGCAGAATACTTGGGGTGCTTGTTGCTGCTGTGAATGCAGGTTGTCTGGTTTGGCTGGCATGGTTCAGGGACTGGCACTGGCAGATAAGCAGCACCACATATAAATTAGTAATGAGCAGTTGTAGCTGTACTCTTCCCCTCCCCCCCCAATGTTTATTATTCTGTTCAGCTGTGCTGCAGGAGCTTGGCCTTGGAACTACATAGCAGTGAACTAATATTATCTGTTATTGAGAGAAATCTCAACAGCAAAAGAACTGGTGCTATTTTTTTCTATGGTGCAGTTGGAGAAAATAGGGGTAAAAGGTACTTCTGAATTTTAGGTCAAACTCAAACCAGGAAGATTTAGAAAGCATTTGAAAATGTGGATTGAAAATTGTGTCAGATCGATACAAACTAATGAAGGGTAGCATGCAATTAAAGCTGGAGTGGAAATAAAACTTCTTACCTAGGTTCTAAGTGAAAAAAGACTTCTCTTAATACCTCTGCTGGAACAAATAATCCATTTCTAATTAAAAAGAGCTAGAATGGAAGTGTGTGATGTTATGGCAAATATCCACAGCTGAGGTATCATTACACTTAATGCCAGACTGGTTAACTAAAGAGACGTACATCAAAACACTGTGAGATACAGAACTAGAGAATAAAAAAAAMCTGGCTTTGGAAAAGTGGCATATGTAAAATGTGTCACATATTGAATTGTTATGAAAGTTGCGTGTTCTGCCTTCTTTTTAGCTTTTCTTACCTTGGAGTGCTGAAGTGTTCAAGGAGAGGACATACCAAGTTCTGGCAACCTCATCTTCTAAAAACAGCTTCACAAAAGCACMTCTCAAGCTTCTAAATTAGGCAGGCTCCAACGATCAGGATGTCATCACTTCATGTCACCACTGGTACCTGAGGGCATCAGAAAACTGTTTGGACTGTAGTCATTGCACTTACCTGCTTAAACCTCATTGTTAATCAGAGAAAATGAGACCCTCAATCTTTATTTTATGGAAGGTGCATATATAAATATTTCTCTTACAACAAATCCATATTCACATAACTTGGCTCTGTTTGATTATTACTTTCCTGGCTGAATACCTCTTCAATCAGCAGAGACTGTTTATGAGATAATTTGGGCTTTTGGCATCCAATGTGACTACCAGATAAACTAGATTCTCAAGCAAAATTCTAGTTTATTCCAGTTTACTAGATTACTTAATATTTTATTCCAAAGTATTTGACAGTATTTGAGACATACTTCAGACAATGTTCTTTTTTTCTTTTTTTTCCTGCTGCTCTTACCGTACTGTAACTGGGCACTGTAACTCTGATTTATTTTCCTGGTTTCAGAGGTTCAGTTGGTTCAGTTCTCTTTGAAGCAAACTGGTACAGCTCCTTTAACAGATTTTGTTCTCTAAGTTTATGGATTAAATTTAAATGCCTGTTCTGACACTAATGTTTTACTTGAAAACAAGTAGGTTTGATGTTTTAGGTATTATTTTAGTAGGTAAAGCCATTTCTGCAGGAAAGTAATATTCAGAGACAGAAGGAGGGTCAAGAACTGACCTAAGCAGTTACTCAGCATGCAAAAAGGTGGAAATTACTAGGCTTGCCTTAAGTGGAGCCTGTTTGTTGGAATAGGAAGTATAACTGAGAGCGTTTCAAACTGTTACATGTATCTTAGAGGCTTATTTGGCCAAATTACACAAGGATTTGGTGTTTTGCTATTTCATCCCAGCGTTGCTGTACGAGAAGTAGCGGCAGAGGTGAGTGCTGCTGCTGCTCGAAAAAGGTGAGTGTTGTTCTGACAAGTGAGCTCCTGCAGGTCTCTGTGGAGTTTGGTCCAAGACGTTGCTGTCTGGGACTGCCTGTCCCCAGACATGAGTGTCCCCATGAGAAGAGAAGCAGCAGGGCAAAGCCTTTGCTGTCGCAACACGTTTTGCTGTTGGTAAGGGTAGGGCTSTGCTAAAAACACCAGCACTTCCTGAGCCAAGGGGTGGGAGGGCTTAGCTTCACCTCTGCTGCCCCGAGGCCCCGCAGCAATGTGGAGCAGAAGGCTGGGGAGGCAGCCAGCTGCTGGCACCGCACAGCAGCACGCACACCCGCTTGGTACACGTGGGTCCGAGCCTGGACACTAGATTGCCAGAGCTGTTAGCAACATCCCAGTGCTACCTGGTAGTCGAGAGGCCCAGCAGGAGCATTAACATGCCAAAACTGGAGCAGAACAGCAGACAGCCCTGTGTGAAGCCTGTCACGTGCTGCTAATAGCACTCAGCGCAGCAGTTGTCTTAGCAGCGTGTTATTACATGTCAGACATCCAGACGGGCTTCAGCGCGCCAGCAGGAAGCCAGCAGCCCCGTGCCTGCAGGCTGTCATCACTGGGCAGCAGGAACTGCGGCCTGCGACGAGYCCTGCAGCATTCCTGGCTGCAAGATTCACCAGGACTCCTCCGGGTTTGGCTGGGGTCAGAATCCCTCCCTCGCTATCCCTCGCCCTAGTCAGCCTCCCCAATCCAGAGTTACCAGGTCTTGTTCCATGTTTAACAGGGAGCCCTGCCACAATCCCTCTCACAAACCAACCATGCAGTATCTCAAAGACAAAAGTTTTTTTGCTTGTTTTGTTGTTTGTTCGTTGTTTTTCCCATCTCTTTCTGTTGAGAAGCCCTTCCATAGCCTCACCACTCTGTGCTGAATATAGCTCTCAAGTCCAGTCCTATGGACTTGGAGTTCAGGATCTCAGTGTTTGTTGTGGTAGAGGCTGAACTTTGCTCCTAGACCTTAGGAAGATTTTTGGATGTATTGATGTTCCTATTTCCACTTTATAAAATGAATAGGCATGTGTTGCACTCTATAAGTTGTTTTCTTAGACTAGGTAGCCATCCATTTTAACTAGAAGAATGAATCCTCATTATCAGAGCCAGCAGTCATTTGAAAAAGCTGATATTCTTGCCAGGGAATTTTATCTTCATTTAATTTCTTGATATTGTGCAGAAACTGAGCTTATGTAAAATGTGCAGAGTTTGGGTGTTGTGGATAATTTATTGACTAGTTTCATGCTCTTCCTTTGGTTCTTCTCTCCAGCTCAGTGAATTTAAGATTATTTCTGATTCAGTGCAGTAGTTCCAGCAGGAGGGCTTGTGAATGAAAATATTTGACATATGTCCTTTACTTGGCACCTGAGAGTTGCTTCTGGATTTGGCGGGCTAGGACAAGACGTATTCCCTACTCTGGAGAGCAGTTTGGTTCATGAAGTTTTATTCTCTGCAGACTGTTATTTGTGGGAATTAAATATATATATATATATTTCAAAGATAGCTAGATTCTTTTTCCTCTCTTCATTATCCAGCCTTCTGGGTGGTTCAGCATGGCCTTTGCTATTTGAGCCTTTAGGAGAAGTCCCAGAGCTYTCAAGAATTGATTTGTAAAATAAAAAACAAATCAAGGTAAACAGAAAAATGTTCCAGAAAATAAATTTWAAAAAAAGTCTGCTTTTGAAAGAGGAAGGGCAAGCAAACACACGTCAAATCTTTTCATTTTCAGGTTACATCCATTTCTATAGTGCGTTAGGTATTTTAGCCTGTTTATAAATGAATTGTGTATTGTAACCAGGGGCTGCCTGCTCCATATCTTTCATTTAATGCCTTAGCTTTTCCCTGGAGAATGAAAYGGCAGTTGAACTTTGCATAAAGGGGAGTGCACCTGGAATACAAAAATGCCTGAATCTATGTCCTGTTTTTAGGTCTGTATTTTCTTATGTGTGGAGTATTATGAGGGGAAAAAAACATGTCTTCTGTTTGCAGGTTGTGGAAAGTAGGTCTTTCTGTTTAACCAGTTACAGCTGTTGCTAATTYGGATTTAGAAAGCTGAAAGAATGATTAGGTCACTGCACTACTGGGGACAGAGTTCTGCAAAAAAATGCTTCAAAATTGATCCTGCAGCTCAGCGTGATGTTCCCTGAAGACAGGCACTGGAAGTTAGAAAAGATAAATCCACTGTGTAGTCTTAATGAATCTTGCCTCTAAAAATTAGCAGTATATATATTTAAACACTTCACCCAGACTAATCTGTGTCCATAAATTGAGGCTTACAAGCTGACTTAATAAAGCACATCTCAGTATGCTATTTGGCAAATACTTAAAGGACTTCAGTTGGTACAATTACGCTTGGTTATACTTATTATAACACTGTTTTAGGTTAGTGAGGACTGATAAGGTTCAGTCAAATTCTATTTGCCTAGCTTTAGCAAATATAGTGGATTTTTATATTCATTTTACATGAAACAAAACTTTGACACAGTATCTCCTTCCTTCCTTCCTTCCTTCCTTCCTTCCTTCCTTCCTTCCTTCCTTCC